TCTTCTATTTAGTAACATTGATATAAATTGTTTTATCTTTTTTTGCATTCTATAAGTAATAAAGATAGAATGATATTTGTGTCGACTTATGTCATTAAATGGACAGCACTCAAAGTAATTTAATATCTATCTAAAATTATAAGCTCATTAACATATTGATATGTTAACATATGAAAATACACAAAGAATATTTTTTCGAACAATGGACTTATTTACTTATTTATTTATTTACTTATCTATTTATTTTCATGATATTTAGCAGATGAATCAGAATTCATGAGCTGAAATAACATAAAATAAGTACCAAAAGTATCAAAAAAAGTCACAATTTATGTGAGTACATTCGGTATACTTAAGTTAGCCATGTTGATTTTATAAATAGTTCCCTCTCTTTGATTATAAATAAAACGTTGTGACAAAAATATAAACAAATAAAAACAAATATAAACAATACAATAACATGAACTATTAAAATTAATAACTATCTTTTAGTAATTTTAGGAAGCAATTATTATTACATCACGACAACGACATTCTGTGTTTTATTTTACTGATGATAACAGAATAAACAAATTGAATTGATGTAATCCAGTCAAACGGATAATCTGCACGAGTTATTATTGCTATTTTTTTAATCAGTCGTATGATTATCTACAAATAGAGAATAGGGAATTTTGAGTACATATCCATATTGAATCCAATTATCTTATGCAAAAGAATATATGGTACACATGTACACGTTACATAAAAATGTCATATAAGAAAAGTAAATTTAATAATATATATTATAAGTGTATATAAATTTTATTTATTCGATACACAATATTTGAAAAAAAAAAAACGATATTTTAAAGAAATCTATGAGACAACACTATATATAATTTGAGTAAAAGTTATATAAAAATAAAGAAATAAAAAATTTAATGAGAGACATATATTTACATGATAACAATGTGATCATGTAAGTAATCAGAAACACGCAATACGATTAATTAGCTTAAAGTTTGGTTAACCAAAGCAATTAATTGAAAATAATATTGTGATTTTATCCTGCAATTAATGACTTACTAAAAATAGATCTGTAAGAATTTAAGTTAGATTGTTGACATTCCGCTATTTCGATTTCACTAACATCTGTCACATAAACTTTGGTAGTTTACTGCACTCGGAGCAAAATAAGCAGAAGAGTGCGCCTCACTTACGGCTTTGCGGCACTGGGAAACATAGAAGGGGCTTTAAGAAGAATAAGAAAGCAGCGACGATGATGACAAGGTAGAAGGAGAAGCACCGTAAAAAAAAATATCCATCGAGCTGTAAAGAGAACCGCGTTTACGACCGTCGTTAAGGCCACTCTGAGCAACCTGTCTGATTACATTGATGCTGCTTACTGCAAAACCGGGACTAATTCTTTCAACGATTCGCCGAACGCTTGCTGCAACTATTAGAAGTGATCACGAATCCTCGCTTATTGTATATGTGACATTAAATCTGCGACGATCGATTTTTTTTGCGTCGACGAGTCGAGAAACGAGTATTAACGTATGTAATTGCTCTAATGAGTCCGCCGCACGCAAAGGTTATCGAGAATACTTCGCCGAATCGATTCACGCTGCAATCTAAAATAAAAATATCAAGAAAAATCGTGTATCACATGAATATATTGCGTGATTATATTTTCTCATATACAAGAAGAAACATCGAAATACGACATTATATCTATTGTGCTATAATTTGTGTTGCGAAAATTTTCAAAAATATATAGCGATAACAATAGAAAACCAATAGAAGTCCGGGTCTATCGCATTGCTTATCTCATAAAAAAAGAGATATATGTATACACACACACACACACGCGCGCGCGTGCATTTACATTATACAAACATAAGCAAATAATGCGCGATTGACCATTGGATTCCACTGTTCGGGCCAGTGTAGAATCACCGACTCATTTTTAACAGCCCTAATCACGAGCTGGAAGCAATCAGTATCCGAGATAGCCGACAAACCTTGCCGACATTTTAATTACCGCTTCAATTTTCATATCGCAGGTATCACCGAGTGCTGTTTAGCGAGCCATACATTTTTAGGTTCTTTTACGATCATCATTACGCCGTAATGTTGATGCGTCCTTGACTCTAACGACGGATTGCATCCGATAAATCTGGATTTCCCTCTCTCTATTCTATATATACTCTATCTATATGTAATTAAGTATTAAATAATTCATATGATAAGAGCAACTGGTTATTGCACCATAAAAATTTTTCAGAGTTTTAGACGAATTGATACATCAATGATTTTTACCGATATCATGAATGCTTAAATATAACCGCTGCTAGAAGATTGAGATGTTTGCATACATGAATAGTTTGATGAAACATGCATCATGATAAAAACGAAGATACTGCGGTTTGAGGAAATATACTTGCACAAATATATTACGAAGAAATATCTTCATTTTTTCTCAATTTAAACATATATGGACATGTACATATAATATCATACACAGAAAAATACATACGCAAGTAATAATTACTTGTTTCAGATATATCAAAAATTCATATATCTGCAAACCTATCATAAATAAATTTATCAAAAGCATCAAAATACATTTTGAGTCTTAGTAAGTTTAATTCATTTTTTAATCACAAGTTTACTTCAATCTGATTATTAAATTAAGACAAATTCGATTTGCTTGTTATATAAAGCTTATTCGATCAATCTTATAATATTCTTCACAAGAAAATAAATTCTTGTTTTGTGCATAATAATATGATTTTCTAAAATTTTTTAAAATAAAACTAATTATTATCAAGAAAATATTTAAGATAATCGTAATTTAAAAAGAAGAAAGCAAATTAACTCATCATTTTTCTTAGAAATAGAATAATATTTGTCTAAGAATTTGTATAAGAATTATTGATATTGGTTGTTTAAATATATCTAAAATAAATATAAGTTATATTAAAGTATCTAGCCGGAAGTGACTAGAGTATTCGAAAAACCATTGTAAACATAAATAAGTACTAATCCCTACTAACATTAATCTAAACAGAAAAATGTCAATATTAAAATTTTAATAACATTATGACAATAATGTCTTAATGACTTGTATGACAATACTTTATGATTCTTTTTCAACTTTATAATGGTTACCATCTCACTCCCTTGTATTTCCACGCTATATCGTGTGTTATTTCGTGACTGTATTAGCACGCCACTTTCTTTGTCAACTCTTTGTAAGATTAAAGGAAGGAAAGGTACATCCTGTTATAAGAATAAGATACATCCTGTTGTGACGTATCTTATTGTTAGTTCGAAGAATGCGCCTTTTAATTAAATTTATTCTTCTTTCCTTTTATATCATTGTATTTTTTACAGATGTGTTGAACACTGATGTGAGAAAATCGTGTACAACTGAGAATTTTTAACTCTTTTTAACTCTTTTTTAAATAAAACATCACTGTCGTTTATAAGTAACACAAGATTATTTCTTTTCAGTAAATTTTATAAGAAAGTAATACAAAATTTAAAAGTAATATATCATTTTTAAAATTTAAAACAATATTTTCATTTTTTTTTTAGTAAATGTAAAGATAAAAAAGATTTAAATTAATTAATGTAATTCTACAGATTTATGTAATAAAAAGCAATAATTTAAATGTACGCAATAATTTAAACTCACGATTTTTCAATTTGAAATTCGTTTCTTGGATGTATAAATTTTGTGATTAATCATTTAATAAATATACGTACACACACATGCATTCATTCGAAGTTTATCTAAATATGCAAACTATGCGAAATACGAGAATTCCTAGAATGTATCAGCAATTAATCAAGACTTGCTGCAATCTCCTTGAGGCGCCAGCAAATATACGAGAACGAATTAAATGTAAATACCGTAGACAGTTTATCTCTAAGGCAACACGCGTAAGCCCAGATAGCCAACTGGCGGCGGATTTGAGTCCTGCTTTCTCACATATAGCAAAAATTGTTTTCTTCAAATTGCCCAGTAAGAATGATAACCGACCTGTCGTCATGGACAAAGCATGGGATGGAGAAAACTGATCAACACTCGTAAATTCTTTATACCGTCGCCAGCGTTTAAGCTACAGCTGGGAAGGAGGAACAATCGATGCATCGGTGACTTTGAGTTCCCGCACGTTTTATGCGTTTCTTGAGCGATTGCTTTGAAGATATTCACAAAATTTGATACTAATAAAGATTTCTTTGAAAAAAATGTAATATAAAAGTCACTATATAATTTGCTGTTTATTCCAAAGATGTAAATTAATATAATTTGGCGGGCTGAATGCCTCTCATAATCTTTCAAAATCAGTTGCTAATGATGCTGATTACAATTCTTAACAGATCGATGAATTTGATCTTTAAGTATTATGCAACAATTATATTAGCACGACGAATAAAAAATGATTGCTTTTGATAATTACAGATGCTAAAAGTCAAGAATTTAAGGGAAATAAAAAATGTCATGTGATAAAGAAAGAAGTAAAAGAGGTGGAGCAATGGACAGATGAGCAGCTCTTAGCCGACCTAATGTCGCAGTCTGCTTAACTCTCGGAAGGAAGGAAACTTTATAGCTTAGAATCCGTTTTATGTGCGCTGGATTTGCGATTACGACTCTCTCTCTCTCTCCTCTCTCTCTCTCTCTCTCTCTCTCTCTCTCTCTCTCTCTCTCTCTCTCTCTATATCTCTCTCTCGATATCTCTCGCGATCCAAACAAAGGAAGAGCACCAAGAATAATGGAGACCACGATTTGTTTTAAAAACCGAAAACTAATTTTTTTCCACACTTAACGTTTATAGCAAATTAGATTTCATCAGACTTAACGTTTATAGCAAATTAGATTTCATCAGACGCCTTGCATACTAATGACAAATAAGAGGATTTCTCAGTATCCAAATATTCAATATAACTGATTATCTATATAATAAATTTTATCAAAAGTTCGAAAAATAAGATAAAAATAGACTTACCAACAATATGTAGAAGATTTAGTAGAAAGGTCAGTAGGAGACTCACGAAGAGGTGCGGTAAGAGAATCAGTAGAAGGTCCAGCAGAAAAATCAATAAGAGGATAAAAAGATTTAACAGACAGTTCAGAAGGAGATTTAAATGTTTCAAGAGACATATTTGTTGTCATTAATGAGACATTAGAGGACCAAGAAACTGGAAAATTTTGGGATGGGTACTCCAAATTCAGAAGTGGATACTGTAATTTTGTTCCATCAAGCACAGCTTGATCCCAAACAAGTTCCTTGTTTGGTGCGTGCAAGATCTGTGTTGGCGGGATATAACATGTCGCTTGCTGGAATGTCATGAATGACATTGGTTCTGCTCCATAAATGACTGAAAAAGAAGAAAAAAAGAATAATTTTATTCACTGTTGCATTAATAATTTTTTTTACTACAAAGATAATTAAAATAAATGCAAACAGTGCATCCTAAACAGTAATTACTTCGCAACATAAATTTTCAAGAAATAACTACAATTGGTCTAATTCAGAAAAATTTAATTCACAAAAAACCTTTTTAAATTTGTGACTGTTCATTCTTTATCAGTTATTTAATTAGTACAATAGCAATATAATACCTATATGTCATCTCACAACAAAAGTGTCATGTAAAAGCTTACTTTTTATTTGTGTCAGTATTTTCCGACTATTTTATTATATTATTTCGTAATGTAAACATACAACGAAATATCTCGTTAATTGTTTACAATAAATTAATTGCTGGGCTCAGTTAAATTTGAAAAGCAATTCTACAATTTTAAGATCTTGATTACAGTATAATAAGTAATCTAAAGATATTATCGGCAATGTAATGAATCAATCCAGTGGGCGTACGCAGGATTTCAGTCAGGAAGAGGAGAGGGCAAAAATTTATCTTCACATAAAACTTATTAAAATATACTTATGTTAAAGCTAGTCTTCGAAGGCTTCAGCAAATTTCAGCTATCTTCTTCCAGTTTCTTTCTTTTCGCAAGCATAGTTTATTAGCATATATAGCTAGTTTATTGAGCCGATTTTCCAACATTGTTAATCTAATAACTACAATCAGGTTTTCATTCTTCGCAATCTACTAAAAGATCTTTCAATGATACTCGTTGTGCACCGGTTGGGCTAAGGAAATATGCAAGATATAATGCTGAGAAGAAAGTTTAAGCTTCTTTTAACACGTCTGTTAACCCTGATTCTTTAAATTCCTCTTTCTTAATTCGTTTTTTATCCCTCGAAAGAAACTATAATTCATTGTGAAAATTATTCAGAAAAAACTGTGCTTTTTTTTAAATCTTTTAATATCATATCCAACATAATAAAAGAATGTAATGCTAACAATGACAAAGTAAATTCTTGTCAAACAATCGCTACTTTAATTGCGATATATTGATAAAGATATTTAATAAAGATATTTAATGAAGATATTAAAGAATCTAGAAATTATATCAGTGACCTTTTTTAGTTCTTTAATAGATCTAAATGTATAAACCAATCATATTAAATAATTTTACAGTTATGTGTGAAACTGCTTCATATAATGAACGCAGTCATTGATTTTCATTATTTAATTATTTCTTCTTGATAAAATTTGGGGGGGGGGGGATGCATCTTACTCTCCCTCCTACGTACGCCTATGATCCAATACAATGGATACACATTTAATTGTCACCATTCCCACTGGAAATAATAAATACATTCATTCCAGTCCCCCCTTTTTTTTCAAACTTCCTTTGTAACATAATGATAAAAGCATCATAAGTGGCTTAAATTAGTTGCTTCTCTAACTGTCGGGATAGACCTCTAATACCTATTAAACTAAATCAAACTTATAAAGCTATTAAAACAATATACTACTTTATTTTAAAAGTCCTCACAAATCCTTCGCGTATTTACGTGAATTCGGAAGATGATTCATATTTATCTATATACTGCAAGGACGATATCAATTGAGACATTTCAAAGTTAATCTAACGATGTTTACCATTTCGAAATTAATTTAAAAAAGGTCAATACTAAAGAAAAGGACGATTTAGATTTATAGATTTTCAAAGAAAAATATCATAAATCTTATATCTTACATTATATGTTTTTATCCTTTAATTTGAGACATAAATTTTGTATGATTTAGACGTAAATTACACTACATCTAATTACTTAATTGCGGCAAGCTCTTACTCCGCGTGCATACTGATTACGAGGGTACTTGAAAATTACGGTGAATTATGCGTAAGATTACAGGATTTATTATACACTGAAGATTGTGGAACAATTTCAATTCACAAAATAAGTATGCTCTCTTTAATCCAAGAATAGTCTATCTAATTTGTTGCAAGTGATATTGTTTGATTGCGGGGATGTATTCTTGCTGACCTTTTTAGACAGATTTGTAATCTATCACATGTCATACTTTTGGATAATACTTGCATTATCTTATATTTTATATTAGCTCCTCTTCACAAAAGCTTCAATGCTCCTGATACTAAAAGCACCAGTAAGTTTTATGACATATCAGTGATTTCGTCCATTATTAATGCTCTTGTAATAATGCTCAAATAATCGCAATTAAAATTTACATCATAAACTTCGGATCGAGAAATTACTTTACACAATTTCAATTGCATAACCTATCCGTTTAATGCGTCAGATATAAATATAGTAACATGTACTTATAAAATTTGTGATCGTTTTTGATCATCATTTTAGAAATCCATAATTTTTGCACTTATATGAAAAAAAAAACACAGTAATAAACATAATTTTAAGCAATATTTAAAAAATTAATATTTTCTGAACCAAATAGAACAAAATAATGAAGCACAAATACAGCCTTCACAATTCTTACTTTCGACTTCGTTTTTAACAAAAAAGGATATATATTAAAATATGTATGACATATGTATATACACACACACACACACATATATATATATATATATCACATATATTTTAACATATAATAAAATATTTATTTTGCTCAGTTCCGATTTAGATCTATCGACGATTATGTGCAACGATCATGCTTGGGGCAACAATTTTCTTAGCAGTAACGTCTTGGTGTTTTGCATCAAATGCACGTCCGAAATATTATCGGCCAGTCCAATATTTATGCCGTACACCCCGGGCAAGCGGTGCGGTTATCAACAAACTGCAACTTGCGCCCGCGCAGAAAGCGTATTCTCAAGATTTATTACGAGTCTCCGTTCTCTACGTACCTTCACTCCCATCAAGGACTGCGTCGGCCGCAAGTAAGAAACTTTCCAAGACACGTCTGCGCAGATATCATCCGTGCAGTTATCAACACGCATGCACAAATGATAACTCGATATCGGGCGATGTACATTATAAAAGTTTATTTATTACGGAGACACAAGAAATAAAAACTGAATGCTAAATCTTAATAATAGCAAAAAAAAAAAGATATTTATCAAAAAACGTAATGTGAATTTATTACATTACGTATTAAAAAAATGTAACTTTTTTCTATAATTGTTTCTTCTTTCTTGCATTGAAAAGTATAAACCTTCTTGCTTTCTAGCCACATTCATTTAGATACTCAGGCCATGTTCCGATATGCACTACCAGTACTGAAAATCTATTGTTCATAATATACTATAGATTTTTAATACTACCAGTGTATATTGGGACACGTCTTCAGTAAACATTTTTGTAATAAGGAGATAGAGAGAGATAAGAAAAAAATAGAATAATTTATATTATTTACGTAATAGAGAAAGCTTAGAATTTCTATAAATTCTTTATATAAATTTTCTATATAAATATTCAATAAAAAATATGAACCATTATATCGGTACAGTTGCCCATACTTTTGCGAGTGAGTATTGTTTTAAAAATGGCAAGTATAGGAATTGCGTAACACTTAATCAGATATATTTATATAAGATTGCATTCGCAATAGATTAATAAAAAGTTTCTTGCGAAAATAATCGTTTGATATTGTCAATTATAGATATTAACGCTTTCTTTGATATGTGGGAATAGTGAGACTAGAGAAGGCGCAGTTAGTGACCTTTCGGACGCGACGCTACTCGATATAAGAATGATTTATTCCAGATGTAATCAGGAAGATGAATCCAAGCAACATAGAGAGTACTCGTAAGCCAACCGTAAAAATATTGCTTGCCTCGTAAATTACATCCAACAGCATAGCCTTGCGTACATACTCGTTTCGCCCGATCCTTTCGCCGTGAGTTCGCAATCACATATTTTTTAACGCCACATTCTCACTTGAACGAAATCACGTTCGAGATTTTTACATTTTTACGAAGTTTATAAAATCACTTTCTACAGAGTAAGAGATTAGAGAAAGATCCACAAAATTGCATCGATTATTAAGCCTGCTGTGTAATGATGATAGTAAAAAAACAATTTAGAACAAAAAATAACTTATTGATATCACAATAGCACGAGTAAAAATCATAAAACATATCTAATGCAAAATTAACGTTATATATGATATATAGAAGGTAATTTTAACCGATAGATATTAAGGGTAACAGAATATTAACGAATCAAACGTGCTCAGAAATAGGATTCGCAGCTGCGTGTTCGCTGACTTACTTAATCGCCATAACTTCCGGTTGCCTTAGAATTATGTGACGTCACCTACATTCGTCGCGGATCGAAATGATGCCAAATATAAAGCTCGGAAAACTGGAAGTGCAATTTACTCTTCATTTTTACTGCTTATCGGCGTTGTTGGGTATTAAAATCGGATCTGCTTCAAGTAGATATAAAAATGTAGACCACAGCGGTTCAAACAAAAATAAATTATCATATTTAAATCGGAGCGCAACATGAGAATAACGTGTATGAAATAAAATTTATTTACACGTTACATATCTTAAAATGATATTTTTATCTCTTTCTTTTTTCAAATTCATTTCTCAGTGTCCTCGATTCATGAAGCAAATAAACTAAGAAAAAATCTTATATTCTCCAACATTATTTTTACAAATAAACGATTTCTGTATATATCGACTTTCTATATGTATATCAATCGCCTGTTTACTTGCTGTTTTTTACTGTAATATCTCCAATATATCATTTTTAATATTCTTTATTTTTTAACTCTGTAATTTATCAACAACAAAACTATACGTATATCAGCTTACAGAGCATACATGGATTTTTCTTGTATTGAGATTACCGGTTTTCTCGATGGCAATATTACAATATGATCCTTCTTGATGAAGCGATCTGTTGCATACAGTGAGTTTGCGTATGTGTGCAAAACTATACATGAGTATTCATTAAAATACATACATAAATTATAAAGAGAATATACCGTCCAGACATAAAATAATTATAGAACTCTCACAAATTGTA